TCTCAAGGATTCATAAATCCATTAGGATTCCCACACCCTTCACAAAGACAGACTGCACTTCCTCTCCTTATACCCGGCCCTATCATCTGCCCGTGGGCAAACCGCACGAGTATACCGAAGAGTAGACAGTTCACAACCATTCATTTTCCAATATACACAATACAAGAGATGTTTCCCATACATCTCTCTCACAAAATCATCATTCATCAGGATAAAACTACACATGCGAGAGTGACTGTGATCATCATATAAAGAAAATAGTCTCAGGTAAAATCTCAACTCAATATATACTCAGGGGTGTAATATCCAACTCAAAAAACGAACAATCATAGTCTTGAATTACATATGTACAGTTAGAGTTAAACAATCTCAACTCAGAATATCACACAAAGATCGGGGCCTCCTTGACCAGAGTTAGACTGAAGCAGTTTTAATCAGGATGTAATCACACCCCCTAACCCAAGGGGAATCAACTAGACCCCAAGGCGTACCCAAATATCCGAAAAGTCACACAAAGCACACCAGACAATCACTGCGTTACTAATGTGTTCGACACAAATCTCACATACTATACTTCCAGGCTAAAGAGTCTATATTTCATACACACCGAAATCACTCCCTAAGCCTCCTAGACCTCTTATACGTGTACTACCATCTTACCCTAGACGGGAAACAAGTTTCAATTCTTCTCCTCTCAATGATAAACCTACGTACATCGATAGCTTAGAGAGGTCTCCACATCTACTCAAATACACAAGTGGAACAAATTTCCATTACGTAACAATACCCTTAAAACCACTCGTTAATTTACCTGCTCGTGGCATTCCAATAACGCGACTTGATACAGTCCTAACATATCCCTCCATATACAACTATCTTGTGAGGATTTCACCGTTACCACCTATACCTCCTGTCTATAACTCGGGTTATCTTACCGGACCATTATTGTGAAACCCCTTCCCTCCGTCCTTTGTGCTATTAAATACAGCTACATTATTGGGGTTCTATGCTTACGCCTGTGATTCACTCAAACCTTTAGGTTCTTCTTACACATCTTCATTCCCTCCAGAATCACGGTCAAGAGGCAGTGCTAGATGCTCCATTTCGCCGCAAAGCCTTTTTCTGCGTTCCGCCAGGGATGGTCGGATCAATATACTTCCCAGTCCTGTCAAAGACATCCCCTTCAATATTAGTCCTTATTAAGCCACTTGCTTCATCCGCTCGTCGTTCGTGACAAAATTTTATTATGTGTCCCTCTTTAGCACAATGTTTGCAAGTGTCTTTCTTCCAATCGGCTTTTCCCCCTCCAAATCCATTTCCACCGTCTGAATCCACATGAACTCGACTTCATGCTTTCCGCTGGGCTTCGGTTAGGTTAGGGTGCTCACGCCCTTTCTTCTGATTGCCCCTCTGCCCTTCTCTTTCTCCTCCTCGAGCACCAGGCCACTTTATCGGGATCTTCTTGTGGCGGAGGTGATCCCGCTCATCACAACCTTTCTCTTCCACATCTCCGCCTGTCGGCTCATCCAACATCTCTCTCGGAGTCTTCCGCTTGCCTCTCCTAACTTCCTCCGATTGAACAATTCTCTCGTCTAGTATCTTTGCTTCTCTTTGTTCACCAGCTATCCGTTCTTGCACTGACGCACCTTCAACAACTAGTGCAGTTTGACAAATCCCGCTATGCTGAATGAAATTGTCTTCTTCTGAAAACTTTTTTATCGGAAAGCTCTCGAGTTCACCCCATGTTCGTGACCTTAATACAAATCGTTCACTTCCTCGCTCAAGTTCTCACAGACAAATAACGGCAGCATACTCGACATGGCTCTCTCGTCCCACATCTTCGCGAGACTGAAGTTATGATAATCGCGTAGGAAGCTAGACAAATTTCTTCCCTGACACAATAGGGATTGGAGATCTAGGCTCATCGAGTCATGGCCCGACTCGCACAGCAAGACCTTCGTGAGACATAAACTCCTCCAAAGCAGTATCTTAGCAAAACCACTTTCTTCAGCCATGATGTCGATGCTGGCCTGATACGCATAGCAAGCAATAGATCATCAAGTTATACTACAAGAAGGCTCAAGACAGATAAGGGCAAATAACACTGCTAACTCTCAGATCATACAAACTATCTTCTTGCTCATATAACAAGACCTTAAATTTTAATTACCCTTGCTCTAATTGTTAAGGGTACTATGAACAATATACACTCAATGGGGTTAGAGCTTTCAAAACCCAGCTATAGACACACAGTAGCAGTGGCTACAACTGTCATTAGTCACCGCACTTGTACTACATAATGAGGGGGTCATACACAAGTTTGTGAGAGACGCACTTAGCAGAGTATGAGGGTACTCTCTATTGGTCAGCTACCACTTGAATCTCGTCCCAATCTATAACCCTTTCATCTGGATCGTGGGAGTCATCATAGGCATCAACAATGTTGACCATATTCCTAAGCCCTTGACTACGGGGTATAAACCTTTGGTCCACGTAAAGGCCATATATCAACTCACATGTACAGCATCCATACCCCCACTCTCGCACCCTCAAAGCGACTTCTGCTGCGGCCTCTATCCTCATCAATCCCCCAAAACGCTTTTCTACCAGAAATTCAGACAAGACAACTCGTAATGGGGCTGAAGGAAGTGCAAACTCTTTGACAGACTTGACTTCTATACGGGTCTCCACTTGTTCCTCTCCTTCACAGACCCTGCCTCTCGCTCATTTTGTTGCAGCCCCCTCAGCTACCCTCAAAGGCCTTGCTAGTAAGCTTCTATGCCCAAGTGCCAACTCAATCCCGTGCATGTCCCATAATGAGGAAGATGCATACAAGGTCACCCTTACGATCGCACAATCCCAATCATCATCAAATTCAGACTCAATCTAGACGAAGATACCCTTGCCTATCAGCATGTCCCACCAGGAAGAGATATATTCTCCCTTTTTGACCCACCTCGGCAAGAAAATTTCAAGCTCATCTTCGTTTTTGACGGGCGAGGTTACACTGAGATCTTCCCTAGCATAGGGCATCCTGAGTTGCCTTCGCTCTGGTCTGGGTTCTGCCCATCACAAAAAAACGTCCAGCATACGCCTTCTGTTACCATGCTGACAATCATCTTTTCATACTCTCTGCTCTGGAAACCTTAACCTCATGCTATCTTTCTCTAAAACTCATAATTTCCAGTGTTTATGACCACCCAACTTAGAGATAGCAAAATGTTATATATCCCAGTAATAACACGTTCACAGATATCAAAGTTCATAATAATAAACTCATAAACTATGATATATTACCTCATTATCTGACATCAATAATATTTACGATGATAAAAAACATTGACATTATACCCAAGCTAGTATGGATAGAGTTAATAAGTCTTGAAAGCAAAAGGAGAACAGTCCATGTAGGACAGATTCCAGAGCAATCGAGACAAAATGCAATTGAAAGATAATGGAAGTATTGTGATCATGGCGTCCCCAAGATCAGGGGGACATCCGCCGCCGTTCCCGTACTAACCAGACTTGTCCTCTAACCCACTTTCGTCCGCTGCCCCTACCAGTTACCGGACCTGGTAGGTCCACGGTCCGTCAGTCCTGATGTAGTAATCAATTGCATCTGAATGCATATATACTACTAGGTCGACCATACGGAACTATCAAACGACTACGACAACGCATAGCAAACCTCGAAAAAACATTAACCGGTCCGAGTACATGTCCCTGTGAGAATGTCCCATGGTCCTGGGCCAGCTACGGGCCTTACCATCTACAGCCTACATACACCAGTCCTACGGCCGGGCCCAGTCCTCATGTTCCGGTTTCCTTGGCAACGTCTCATGGGCCTGCCTTCTACAACACACAGTACCACAAAATTCCTACCATCTGACAAGCCCTGTCCAACCGAACTGCAAGTGGTCATACACGTCCGAAGCTACGAAAAGCGAAAGAGCGAAAGACAAAAACACACAGTACCATATCTAAACAGGTTAAATCCAGAGAGTCCAGGATTCCAGCCCTATCCCAATAGCGTGTGAAAAAACAACCAATAACGTAAAAATCACAAAACAAAATAAAACAAGGACAACAAAACACTAGCACCCTACCCACTGAGGAGGTCAACGGTAAACTGTCAAACTTTGTCTCGCCTAAAGGCAAATCTTCTCAAATTCCTCATGAATAAGTCACCCGGGAAATCCCTCTTCCCCAACTCACGTTTAAGGGTTCTAACCCTGCGTGGTATCTCAGATCGGATCGTCGCATATCTGTCAATACGATGCAAGTACCCACAAACCACGACACTCTTCTGCTTCTTGCAGCCCCACGACCGATAAGACTGCCCACATTGAATCCGTGCAGGGTTATCAGTCCACACCGTATCCTCATTCTTCGAGATCTGTATACAGCTCAAGTAGGGGTACCTCTATGTTGTTCGGACCAAGCAGACCAGAAATTGGAACTCATCCGATCCGTTGTCTGTGCGTTTTAGCGTAAGGGTCTTAGGATAGCATTTCTCGAACCTCAGCAGGATGCGCTCCTGTTTCTCCGAAGTTTTTGTCGCGACAGACAACATCACGTCATCCATCAATCTCGTCCCGTATACCAACTTTGAATCTCTCCCGATGTCCCGCAAAAACTGAAATTTTGCAAAGGCACAAAGAATGCAGGCCAAGGGCGGGCTGGTTGTCTTTCCCATAGGAATGCCCACGACCTGTTTCAAAAGAACACCTTTAGCCATGGTATAACTATGATTAAGCTCCAAGCGTACAAAGCGAAACATCTGATCAAAATCCAACGACCTCCAGTGGTCAGCTCCAGTGGTCAGTCCGAAAGAAACCCCTTTTCCTCTGCTGTTGACCCTAACAGCGGTACGACCCTTCGATCTATGATACTGAAATAGCCACTCAAGAGATCTGCCGATATCCATGTGTGGTAGTTGACTAAACATCTCCTTGATATCAAAGGAGAGAGTCGACACAATAACGTCAGAATATTTCAATAAGCGACTGTTGACTTCATTCAAACGATCAGCCAAACACGAGACCGACACCAAGTTGAAGTGTCAACTTTTAGGCAACCTGTTAAGGAGATAGTTTAGACCACGTGAGACCAATTTTCTTGTGTGAACCATCGGCTCCTTAAAGGTAGGACAGATAGGTCTATATCTGTCCAGGTCCTTCTGCTTAGGTAACACGTAGGCCGAACCAAACTCCCCCTTACTGTCCCAGCGTACAAACTTCGATAGATCTTGTGTGGCAACATCCTCCTTGATCTCTCTCAATACCTCACTTACCGTCCCTTCCACTACCCGGTAACCGGGATTCAAAACAAAGGTCGACATCATTGCCTTGAAATACACCAGGGGACACATCGCAACCGTCTCCCCTGGGTTGCGATCCAAAGGGGTTAAAACCAAGCCATCATATCTTCTCGCCAGACTTTTTACATGCGTGGTCAACAAGCAATCAGTAGGATGACTGCCCCCGACAGTCAGACAGTCACGTAATACTTCCAGCGAGATATTCGGGGGATCCCCTTTCTAATTTCTCCAGAGATGGAAGCCTTCACACAGTTCCTCCTTCAACAAACCTAATTTATCATGCACAGTCACTCTAGGTACGTTCTTCGTGTTATGCAGCATCGGGTGGATATCCTCCAGGTCGCTGATGTGGAAACGGACGTGACCTTCTGACCGAGGGAAGGGTAAGCCTTCACAGCTGCAGGTCAGCACTCCGCGAGTTGCGAAAGCTCGCTGGTTGTGCACCATATCAGCTATCGATGGATTTTTACTCCAAACGATACGGATTTTCTTCCGAGTCCGCCTCAGGAAACACTGGGGTAAGTCCCCGCTCATCAACACATCATTAACTACCTTTCTAACCTCGACCACCTTGATTCTCTCATCAAATTTCATCCGAAAAACAGGGTCAGCTCCCATGCACAAATCAAATTTATCACGAAAAATCCTGGAGATCAGTCGACGTAGGTACTTCTTAGTAGACTTTCTACTGAAATCCTTAATAGCCTGATATAGCCGTAACAGTGAGCGCAAGTTCCAACCTCGAATCTGCACTAGCTTCCCAGGATTCCGCATGATGCTAATCAGGAGCGCTTTCAAAAAATGACACTTCGGTTTCCACTTCCACAGATGAATAACTTCAAACGTCCCTCCCGATTGTATACGTAACTTGGCTTCCTTCAATGCCAATGTGTCCCCGTCAATCCTCAACTTCGTCTCGCCAAAATTTTTCTTCAGACGCTTCCATCCCGACTGCCATATATTACCCTCCTTAAAGGTGATAGTCGCGCCCCCCCGCCCTACTTTGTTTATGGCGTCAAGAACCATATAAACATCCACAAGCCATGGTTCATTTGTTGGCCTACGAGCACGCACAACCCTACAATCTTCGGCGTAACCCTGTCTTTTCCCACTATGCTTAGACCTCTCCTTCTTTCCTGGTTTCTTCTTTTTAGTGTTTCCCTTCGATTTCCCTCCCGCAGTGTTTGGAAAAGGAGGCCATAGCTTGATGTATACGCTCTCGAGTTTAGACAGTTCTTGACCAGCCAGGTGATCAATCGACATAAGCACGTAATTACCTACACCGAAGCTCAAGAGCCAACGATGGAAGTGCGAAGGGGTTCGTGATCTACAAACATAGACATGCTCGCGTCATCTAGTTGTGACATCTCTCGAAGTCTTGCCTACGTATAGGGCTTTACAAAAGGGGGACAGGCCAACATACACCACATCCGTAAGTTGCAGGAAGCCGATACCGTATTCTCATACATTCGTAGCCATGCCGAGATGCAGCGTTGGCTCCATTTGATCTCACCTTCCAAGGCTAGTCGCAGTACGATCAGGCGTAAGACGTCTTCAACACGACTGTCAATCAAACTGGATTGACACCGCAGCTTAGTAAAAAATCTACAGAGGTCCCACAGGATCGGACTCTCCCAACCACATCAGCCCTCCTGCTGTGCATTCTTGTCTCCTCCTCCAGTCACAGAGTCGGCAACTTCGATGATCTCGGGAGCTTCGTCAACATCCAATCCAAATCTTTCACGTGTACGATGCTCAGCGATCGCGAAAATTGCGTCAATTTTCCCGTCGTATGAGACTCCTTCGTCCTTACACACCCGTTGAAGCTCGGTCGCATCCAAATCCTTCAGTTCCTTCATCACAGCATCCTGGAACCTCAAGCGTCGTAACACTCCTCTGGTCGCTGGTGTAGCCACCTCCGGCGTCTTCTTGGGGGTCTTCTTCTTGAGTCTTGCAGTCAGCGGAGTCTTCACTGGACTCCTCCTCTTGATAGATCCCGGTGTCTTAGCCTTCGTCTTCGACCGAGTCAGCCTCGTAGAAAGCTTCGTTGGTTTCAAGTTACCTCGCTTAGGAGTGCGCTTCGGCTGAAGCTCCATAGGCGGACCAAAGTCGAAAACAGTCTCCGGTCCCCTCTTCCGTTTGTCCGATAGGCACAACCTTTCAGTTGCCAATCCCAGTTCCTGTGTCACACTGGTATCACCCTCATCCTCCACATCCACTTCTTTCGTCGAGCCGCCAGCAGAGGCATACGTCACCTTCTTTTTACCTTTCTTGATCAGCTCCTTCAGGGGTCTGATAACATTCTCTAATCTGTGAGAGAAGTTATCCTCCAGCTTGCTGAGACGAATAGCTAGATGGATATCATCGTCCTTACGTAACTCCGCCCGACGTTCGGCCTCTAACTCGGCTTCTCTTTTACTCTTCTCGGCTTTCTTCTTAGCCTTCCGATCTGCTTTTTCCTTCTCCTAGGCTTCCCGTTCTTCCGCTTCCTTCTTCTCTAATCTCTTCCGCTCCTTCTCTTCCTTCTTCAGCCTGGCCTCTTCGTAGAAGTCCTTCATAGCGGTCACGGATCTGCCGAGTTCGGCAATAGTGCTTCTGATTTCGCCTGTGTCTTTCGATGGCGATCGCTGCCTTCTGTAATAATCCCGTCGGCGTGGGGATCGTCCTCCTCTGGAGTCCACCGACGACGATGGCCTATCGGAGTAACGACGACGATTTCTTTCTGGGCACTGATTGGCATCGTGCCCCGGTTCTCGACAAACGAAGCGCGTTGGTGCTCTGTATCTCCGACGCTCCTCATCCCGTCGTTCCTCATCTTCCCGATCATCTCGTCGTCGACTATCTCCACTGGACCTATTACCATCCCTCGACTCGTGCCCAGACATACTGGATCAGTCGTAGGGATCAAACACCAAGCAGATACGCTCAGCGCTATACTCTTGCCAAGTAAGCACTCGCCCGCCCGTCTTACACGTCCGATCATCCAATCAATAGTCCAAGGTCTTCGTTCTTCAGTCTTGATCCTCAAGCCCTTAGGTCCAAAGACTTCACTCCCTTCAAGTAGGACAGTTGATGTCACCAGAAAATCACGGTCACTCTTCCCGGTATTCTTGACTCCAGGTAAGTTACCGTGCGCAATAGCAAGTATGGATAAAGTTAACAAGTCTTGAAAGCAAAAGGAGAACAGTCCATGTAGGACAGATTCCAGAGCAATCGAGACAAAATGCAATTGAAAGATAATGGAAGTATTGCGATCATGGCGTCCCCAAGATCAGGGGGACATCCGCCGTCGTTCCCGTACTAACCAGACTTGTCCTCTAACCCACTTCCGTCCGCTGCCCCTACCAGTTACTGGACCTGGTAGGTTCACGGTCCGTCAGTCCTGAAGGAGTAATCAATTGCATCTGAATGCCTATATACTACTAGGTCGACCATACAGAACTATCAAACGACTACGACAACGCATAGCAAACCTCGAAAAATCACTAACCGGTCTGAGTACATGTCCCTGTGAGAATGTCCCATGGTCCTGGGCCAGCTACGAGCCTTACCATCTACAGCCTGCATACACCAGTCCTACGCCCGGGACCAGTCCTCATATTCCGGTTTCCTTGGCAGCGTCTCATGGGTCTGCCTTCTACAACACACAGTACTACAAAATTCCTACCATCTCACAAACCCTGTCCAACCGAACTGCAAGTGGTCATCAACCGAACCCAAGCTAGCCAAATAGCCAAAAATATATATTAATACATCATAATGATACAGTCAAGATTAACATATAAAATCCCCGAGCCCCGCCCAAGGATCAAGCCTCATTGCTTCTCCCTCCGATTCCAGCACTTGCCCCAATGTCTCTACCCCTCTTTGAAGAGCAATTCAAACACATAAACTTAACAAACAACCATAAGTTAATAATTAGACTTGAGACGCTCATACAAATCCTTGTAGACTGGATAAGTTCAAATACATACTTCAAATACATAGCCCTTGTAAATATTCATGACAAGGATAACCGTTCAAATAATATAACATCAAACACATAGCCTCACATAATCAGACACTAGACACGCTTACTTATATTAAATCTAGCATATATGGATGAGTTCAACATATAACTCAAACGAAATGCCCTCATAAGAGAATAGTCTCAAGTTTTTAGTTTCAATTTCTATTGATATAAGTGAATGGTCTAAACATGGAAAGGTTCAAGCGAAGGTCTAATACCTTCTATATCTGGTTGCCCTTATCAACGAAAATAGAATTGTCTAATTGTTAGCCCCTTCACTGTTACCCCGACTGCCTCTAGGATCAGACTTCCCTTTCCCCGAAACGATGTCATGCAGATTTACTACTTTCTGTAGTCTTTTCTAATGAGGTCATAACATGATGTTTCCTGCACCTATCTACCGCCTTATACACCTAGTCAAAACACGTCACGCAAGGCAAACCTCATATTTCCTTGGCTACATAAGTCAAACAATCGCCTAGAACCCAGTTTAAAGGATCCCAATCCATGCTCATAAAGCTTTTAGCCTTCTTAGCCTATCTCTTGTCGGAGTCCCTCAATGACTCCTAACATAATAGACTCCCTTACTCGTCCTTCGCCTCACTCTAATGCAAAAGTATCAAGTTGCTCTCATAATCACTCAGATAATTTTTTGACCATAATAGGTACCTTATAGGGCCAACTCCTATAACCATCATACTTATTATGTAGCTTTGTTGATACCGCCTCATGCTACCTTAGCGGCATCAAGCATGTAGACCATCATCCAAACTCGTCAACTATTAGGGTCAGAAGGGGTAACAATTCCAACTTCCATCTTATCAGTCAGAGTACGTAAGCGCACATTCAAAACGCTTATCGCTCTTGTGTCACTCTTACCGCATCAAACAAAACCAACTTGCACAGTCAACCCTCGCTCGCTCTCTATCCCTCACCATCAATCGATTAGCCATACGGTCCAAAGAAAAATTCACATTTTGTCGAGTTCTCTCATTCTCATTACCCGGATGTCGTTCCACTAGGGACAACCGCAGGCAACCGTTATCCCCGGCAACGGCGCCACCTGTCGCGCGCATTGGTCCGGCACCGCATAAGCGGGGCGGGACCCTCCAGGTCACGTCACGCAGGAGTTGTTTTGATTCTCGTCGCAATGCACATGGAGCTTCCACAAACCGCTCCGGCTGAGTGCGTCAGCCATACCTCTCGCGATCCCTACGACAGGATAGGGCCTACGCGAGGCACGACTTACCTCCATCTTACGGGAGTTGTCACCTCCGTTCGGTGGGCGTATTTCCGCCGAGCTACCAGTCCACATTACGAAAGTTAATCAACTGCAACCGCAGAGGCGGACCAGCCGAGGGCATTTCTCGTTCGCTGTAGCATAATAGGGGGTACTCGTGGTTTTACGTCTCTATCAGACATGCACGCGAACCGACGCCTTCAGGGGCTGAGGTCCAAAGTGCGACTCGTCGTCGGTCGATTAGGACGTATCTCACACACCACGCGTACACCACTCTAAAGACATAAAAATTAAAACACGCGCGCACACACACATATACAGAACGACACAGAACAAACAACGTGACAACACTCCTAGCCCCTTAGTAGTCATCCCATAACTCTTCGATGCGGAAATTGGATAGGCGATGCACGCGAGACTTAGTATAAAACCGCGCGGACGCAGGGCTAACTCATATCGACTCGCGATGCATGACTACGCAAGCAGTCGCAATCATGGCGTACTATGTAGTACCCATACTCATGCGGTCCTCGTTAATCTCGAGGGTCGCATTCGACACTCAAGTATCAGCTGACACGCGCCTTGAGGGATTGGTCTTTCAACGTTGGACAAACGCCAAGTGCGGTTGAGAACGACACCCTCTTCTGCACCTTGCGGAGCGTGGGTGGTACACAGGTTCATACCTGTGTTGGCAATCGTCTCTTATCGCCCTGGAGACCAACTCCATCATTCAGGGTCTGTGGAGAAATCAAGGGGTTTGACTTTGACGGTTGTCACGGACTACAACGTCCAACTATAAAAACTCTAAAAAGCAAAGGATAACATAGAATCTCCCTTTTCTTTCAAAAACATAATATGTTTAACCCTTACGCGCGGTCACAGTAGGTCGTGCGCAAAACTCAAGATGTATGTACTTACATATAGAGAGAGGGTTATAATTATGTGACGATCACTTCTCACAATCACAGTGGGACTCCTCTCAGCCATATATATGTATATGATCGCAGACAGTAAATCCAAAGTCCGAACCACCAAACATACCTGCAATCACATCGAAGATTCGACCAAAAATTAATGCATTACACGGGGTCAACTTCAACCATTCTCTCCACTCACACCCCTCGCTTTAGCCATGCAAGCCTCACTCTTGCGCAACTCCTCAAAATAAAATACTCAGTACTTTTCTTAAATGACCATTCAAATAAAGTTCGGGCGAAAACACAACGAAACAATTCAAACTACAGGGCTAAAGCCTTTAGGTTGATCAGTAAGAGTGGATTGGAGTTGACTCGTAAACCGACGAATCAGCAAACAACCTGCTATGAGTGATAACAGACGATGATCCTTATAGAATCAAGCTGAAACTAGTCCAAATATTGAATCTAACGATCAAGAAGACCTGTAACACAAGGCAGGTCAACCCTAGACTAAATCTATAAATCTATGGAGAATAATCTTCATATCATAATCTAAAAAAAAAAATCGTTTTACCTAACTAAGCTTAAGTCTACCCCTAAGCAAGTGTCCAAAGAAAGGTAGACCCCGACGGAATCTCCTCTATACAGAGTGGATCGCCAGAATCGTCACCTGTCAAAATATAATTTATCTTCTCTTTAAACTAATAAAATTTCGGCAACGCTTCTCGTAGGAAAAATATTTTCACATAATTCATACTTAGCCTAAATATGAAAATTGGAATAATTTTCAACTTCCCAAAGCGAATTAGCAAAAATTCTGGGCAGCACCCCTTTTAGAAAAAGAGACTTTCCATATTTTTACTAAGTCAGATGAGAACTCAAAGCAAACTTGAGTTCAACCAAGACAAGATTTAACTAACTTCTTAGATTTGTAAAAATTTTGGCATCGCTTTCCGTAGGGAAAGTAACTTTCCAAAATTTATGCAAAGCTAAGTCTAGAATCTAGAAATAACTTTGACCTTCCAAAGTCCAAATTTGCCCGACTCCCTGAATTAGTAAAAATTTTGGCAACACTTTCTTTAGAAAATGAGGCTTTCTAAATTTTTACTAAACCATATATAATTTAGACAAGTTGAACTTTGAACAGTCAAAATTTGACTAACTCCTTCGTTTTGTAAAAATTTCGGCAGCGCTTCCCGTAGAGAAAGTGATTTACCAAGATTTATACAAGACCAAGTATAATAAAGGATCTCAGAGAATGCAACAATTGACCTAAGTAAAATAAACTTAGCTTAGAAAATGCAGGAATCGAAACTAAATTCGATAGCTCTAGCACGTGGCGAGTAACTATAGCAACTACCTATCAAATTGAAACTCAGACTAGGTAGTGATCTCACTCAGCCACATGGAAGGCCAAACCACAAAGGTAAGTACTCTCACCTACCCCAAGTCAAATTCTCATAAATAATTCATGAAACTTTCAGATGATTTATCCATTGTACCCAACTTACATATGACACGGTGCTAGACCATTCAGCTTATAAACAATGTCTAGCATGCCTTTAGGATATACATGAACAGTTGCACAACTACTTTTCTCTTCTTTGGGCATATGAGTAGACCATTCAACTCAGAAACAATGTCTAGTCGCCCTGAACTGTTTAATATCCAAAATTTAATAGTTTTGTGACTTTGTTCTAAAAAAGAAATGAAACTATAGGGAGGAGACTGAGTCATTCAACTTAGAAACA